GTTTGATGCACAGGCTCCACCTGACGGGGAGAAAGGCGAATGTACTGTTAAGGACAATGGGGCAGGAGAAGGTGATCACGAGTTACGTTGTGCCGGAGCTGGAGGTCGCAGCCCTTGACGATGATCAGTTCATCATTCTCCCAAAGGCCTATACACAGTTGTCCATGCCAGTTGACAGGACAAACATTCCAATGAAGCAGGATCTGAAAGCGTGGCCATATTTGAGACACCTCTCATTACCACAGATTGAGAGTGGGATTGATTTGTTGATAGGGACCAATGTCCCACAGGCCATGGAGCCACTGGAAGTAATTCGCAGTGAGAGCAATGGACCATATGCAATAAGAACAGCATTGGGCTGGACGGTAAACGGACCACTGACAGGAGACAGTGGAGAGGCCGACTACTGTGTGAAGCCAGTGACTGTGAACAGAGTGTCTATCGTGGAATTGGATCAAATGTGGCAACAACAATTCAGGATGGATTTCCCAGAGTCTGCTGGGGAGGAACAAGTCGGCCCGTCTCGAGAGGACTTGAGGTTTATGGAGCTGGTCAAAAAGTCAACCAAACGGTTCAATGGTCGCTACCAGATCGCTTTACCGTTTAAGAGGGCACAGGTCACCATGCCCAATAACAAGAAGGTGGTAGAGCAACGTTTAGACCACCTGAAGAGGAGGCTCCAGAGGGATCCCCAGTTTCATGAGGTGAAGAGCAGGAGGAGTACAGTGAAACGCTATGGTGTTATATTTACATGTCTTGCACTGAGAGCTATTCACATCGAAGTTGCACCTTCACTGGATACTCACTCTTTTATAAATGCTCTGAGACGCTTCATAGCGAGACGAGGACAAGTCCGTGAGCTGCGCTCCGACAATGGAACGAATTTTGTGGGAGCAGAACGTGAGCTGAAAGTGGCCATAGAGCAATGGAATCAGGCACAAGTGCATGATGTGTTACTCCAAAAGGGAATCAAGTGGTCGTTCAACTCACCAGCTGGATCACATCATGGAGGATTGTGGGAAAGGCTGATCAGATCGGTGAGGAAAGTTCTGAACTCCACTCTCAAAGTGCAACACCTGGATGAAGAGGGACTTCATACAGTTCTTTGTGAAGTGGAGGCCATTATTAACAGCAGGCCCATCAGTAAAGCATCCACGGATCCAAACGACTTGGAAGCACTAACACCAAACCATCTGTTACTGCTCAAAGGTCAGCCCACATTACCACCAGGAGTGTTTCAAGCCGCAGATTTGTACTCACAGAGGAGATGGAAACAAGTTCAGTACATATCTGATCTATTTTGGAAGCGATGGACGAAGGAGTATTTGCCTCTGTTACAGGAGAGACAGAGGTGGACTGGAGTCCGAAGAAACCTTGTCGAAGGAGATCTAGTTCTTTTAATGGACAATACAGCTCCGAGGAATTCGTGGATTATGGGACGTGTGATTCAGACGTATCCGGATCAAAAGGGTTTTGTTCGTCAAGTCCGAATCAAGACAAAATCTAGTGTTCTGGACAGACCCATAACAAAGGTCAGTCTGTTGTTAGAGACTGAGGAGGCAGCATGAGGGCGTTGCTGCTCTCGCTTACTAGTTCTTTCCAAAAGTGGTTAGTGTTTATTTTGCTTGACTTTTGAACATTTTTGGACATTGTTTGACTCTGACCACCAAGACTGTGGACTATTTGGTCATGAGGTGACCAGAAGATGGACTATTGTGAATGTGGATTTATGGACTATTTGATCTATTACTGGTTTTGAATACGTTTATGCCATGTATGTGTCTCCTATTATGTTTTTTGGAAGGTCATTATTATGTGTTGCCTAATAATTAGGGGCTGGTGTGTAGGAGACAGATCAGGGTTCACTGGGTGTGTGTGTGTGGCTGCACAGCAGGGGGCGGGGCTCACGGGGCAGGTGCGCGTGCACGAGCAGGGGTAAAAGTGTGCGTGTATCTGTCAGGCGAGTGATGAGTCAGGGCTGAGTGGGTAGCCGTATTTTTTGTTGACCGTTTGTTCGTTTTGTTCGTTTGTTTGCCTTATACCTCTTCTTTTGCTCACATCAGGTTCTATGTTGCAGTTCAACAGTTTATAATTTTTCCATACTTTGTTTGCTGCACCTTTTTAAGTCAATAAATCACTTTAAAACGCAATACCAGGATCAAGGATTTATTAGCATAGGCTTCAATACGCGTCATCACATTACAGGACCCACTCTGACCGGCTCAGCGGCTCAGGTCTGCAGGAAGCCGCAACACCTTTCATTAACTCATCAAAAGATATTGAAAATATTTGTGATGATGTCTCAAAATATTTCTTGTTGTAACTGGTTTTACTAAATGTATGCCTTGCTGAATGTATGTTGTTTGTTTGCTTTTTTTATTTTTGTAATACTCTGAACAAAATTGTTGTATTCTAACGAGAGTTCTGTATATTTGTATGTATATTGTAACAATAAATAAATTAAAAAAATAAATTAAAAAAAATAAATAGCACAAGCCATTCATTTGAATAGGGCGCCATCTTGGATCACCGGGGCTTGGGCTGACCTGGAGACAACGCTTTAGCCGCTTTTGGATAGACACAAAGCTAAACCAAGAAGACCGTGTTGTACAAGTAAATACGTTGTTATTTGCTATGGGAAGAGAGTCGGAACCCGTATTCAGCACATTCACGTTTCCGGATGATGTTGAGGATTATTATGGAGAAGTTTTGAGAAAGTTTGATGAATATTTTATACCAAGGCAAAATGTTATGAACGTGCCTGTTTTCACCGCCGCACACAGAACCAAGGGGAGAGCGTGGAGTCGTTTGTCATAGAATTATATACGCTTGCGGAGCACTGTGATTTTGGACAAACAAAAGATGAACAGATACAGGATTGTATTGTGATTGAAATTGCGGACGGAGAAGTGTCTCAAAAACGTCAACTTGAACCGGACTTAACATTGGAAAAGGCTATAAGTATTGTACGGCAGTCAGAGCAAATTAAAGCGCAAAATACCGGCACGAGTACAAGCTTTGAAGTAAGCGCCGTTAATGCTCGAAAATTCAAACAACCAGAACATGTCAAAAGACAAGCTAAAAACAAGGACTATGTACACACATCCGTATCACGGTGCACAACAAGCAACTCAAAGGAGAAGCTGCACAAGATGTGGTAGGCAGCATGAGTATGGTGCATGCCGTGCTACACCGAGGTGAAGTTGGCCGAACGTTTGATATTCGCCTGATATTTGCAAGGGACCGTCTGTAAATTGCAAGAGGTCAAAACGACTAATAAAGACTAAAAATCAACAAAGATATTTTTCCCAGAATTGATCGGTGTAGTAGCTCCCATTTAATGATAGCTAGCTACTACAGCCAAAATGTTGGGAAAAATATTGTTTTCCCCTTCACAGTAATAAAAATGAAATTGGAAAAATTCACTAAAAATCAGACAGTTTTTCCAGATTTAATGGGTGTAGTAGCTCCCAATAAATTGTAGCTAGCTACTGCAGCCAAACTTTTGGGAAAAATATTGTTTTCCCTTTCACAGTAACAAAAATGAAATTGGAAAAATTAAGAAGACAGTTTTCCCAGTTTTGATGGGTGTAGTAGCTCCCAATAAATGATAGCTAGCTACTACAGGCAAGAATTTGGGGAAAAAATGTTTTTCCCCTTCATAGTAGGAATAATGAAATTGGAAAAATTAACTACAAATCAACAAAGATATTTTTCCCCAGATTTGATGGTTGTAGTAGCTCCAATTGAACAGTAGCTAGCTACTACATGCAAGAATTTGGAAATATATATATATATATATATATATATACAGTGGGGCAAAAAAGTATTTAGTCAGCCACCGATTGTGCAAGTTCTCCCACTTAAAATAATGACAGAGGTCTGTAATTTTCATCATAGGTACACTTCAACTGTGAGAGACAGAATGTGAAAAAAAAACAAGGAATTCACATTGTAGAATTTAAGAATTTATTTGTTAATTATGGTGGAAAATAAGTATTTGGTCACTTCAAACAAGGAAGATCTATGGCTCTCACAGACCTGTAACTTCTTCTTTAAGAAGTTCTTCTGTCCTCCACTCGTTACCTGTATTAATGGCACCTGTTTGAACTCATTATCTGTATAAAAGACACCTGTCCACAGCCTCAAACAGTCCAAACTCCACTATGGCCAAGACCAAAGAGCTGTCGAAGGACACCAGGAAAAGAATTGTAGACCTGCACCAGACTGGGAAGAGTGAATCTACAATAGGCAAGCAGCTTGGTGTGAACAAATCAACTGCGGGAGCAATTATCAGAAAATGGAAGACCACTGATAATCTCCCTCGATCTGGGGCTCCACGCAAGATCTCATCCCGTGGGGTCAAAATGATCATGAGAACGGTGATCAAAAATCCCAGAACCACACGGGGAGACCTGGTGAATGACTTGCGGAGAGCTGGGACCAAAGTAACAAAGGTTACCATCAGTAGATTCAGATTCAGATTCATTTTATTAGCCATGTGCAGTATAAATAAAAACTACATTGGAATATAATATAAAATACACATACACTGAATATAAAAGAATAAAAAAAACAGCTGACACTGTGGCACCGATCAACAAAACGATACAAGGGGTAAAAGCAGGAATTAAAGTGCTCTGTATTGCGGCGTAAAATGTCCAAACTGAGGCAATACGCCGCGGCAGGCTAAGACACGGGCTATGTTGCTGACGCGTAGATTAATTTGTATGCAGATAGGGACACAGGTGCAGCCTAATTGAGAGCCTAATTGAGAGACGCCACTCTAAACTGCCACCCAGTGGACAAACTAGGACAGTGCGTGAGCCCTCAGCCGTGCAGATAAGATAGAAAAAGCTAATATTGTTACGAGTCGGACAAAGAACCCAAGTGCAGAGGTAACAAAAAGTTTAATTAACAAAAATAGGTAGACTCAAAACACAGGAGAGCCGGGAATGGGGCTGGGACCAGGCGGTGCAGGGCTGGGTGCAGAGCTGGGGTCAGGCGGTGCGGAACGGAGGTCTGAGGCAGAGCAAAACAAAGGTGAGACAAAAGTAACGAGAGCGATAACAAGCAGGCCTACTAACGCACAGTAACACTGATTACGAACTGGCACCGATGAGCTGGCTTCTGGAGCTCTTGTAGTAGCTTGATTGGAGCCAGGAGGCAGCTGGGCCTGATCAGCCTCTCCCATCCACCTGCTCTGGGAGGCGGCTCCAGGAGAAGCAGGGGAGGGAGGGGCTGCTGGAGGAGCAGCCCTGACAGTACCCCTCCCCCTACCGACGCCCCCAGGCGGACACACACGCCTCCCCGGTCGACGAGCGTAGAAGTCCCGTATGAGGGACGGGTCCAGGATGTTGCCACGGGAGACCCAGCATCGCTCCTCGGGGCCGTAACCTTCCCAGTCCACCAGGAACTGGCAGCCACGACCACGCTGTCGAACATCCACGATCCGCCGAACATTAAAGGCAGGATGGCCGTCCACCAACCTAGGCGGGGGTGGGGCTGGACGGGGGGGAACCAATGGACTAGACTGGACAGGCTTAACACGGGACACATGAAACGTGGGGTGAATCTTCAAGGAAGAGGGAAGCTTAAGACGTACCGCGGAGGGGTTGACGACCCGTTCCACCTCAAAGGGCCCGATAAAACGGGGCGACAGCTTCGCAGATTCCACCTTGAGAGGAATGTCTCTCGTGGACAGCCACACCTTCTGTCCAGGCAAATAGGCAGGAGCCGGGATGCGGCGGCGATTAGCCTGTACTTGCGTCCGAGCAGAGGCGCGCAGCAAGGCCTTCTTCCAAGTCTTTTGACATCTGCGAAGGTTATCCTGGACCGAGGGCACTGCCAACTCAGCCTCTTGGTCAGGAAACAGGGGCGGTTGATAGCCATAACAACATTCAAAAGGGGACATACCTAAAGAAGCGCTCGGGAGTGTGTTATGGGCATATTCCACCCAGGGAAGGTGAGAACTCCAGCTGGACGAATTAGAGGAGGACACACAACGTAGAGCCACCTCCATCTGCTGGTTAGCCCGCTCCGTCTGGCCATTAGTCTGGGGGTGATAGCCAGAGGAAAGGCTCACGTTAATATTCAGGGCAGAACAGAAGGCCTTCCAAACCTGAGCCGTGAACTGGGGGCCTCTGTCAGACACGATGTCGGCAGGAATGCCATGCAGCCGGAAGACGTGGTTCACCAACAGGTCTGCAGTCTCCTTAGCAGAAGGAAGTTTAGGAAGGGGTACAAAGTGAGCAGCCTTTGAGAACCGGTCCACAACTGTCAGCACCACGGAATTACCATTAGAAGGCGGGAGGCCGGTAACAAAATCCAGCGCTATGTGAGACCAAGGGCGATTGGGGATGGGTAGAGGACGCAGCAACCCAGATGGGGGCTTGTTAGAACATTTATTCTGGGAGCACACGTTGCATGCAGCAATGAAGTCCTTAGTATCCCTCTCCATAGTAGGCCACCAGAACTTGCGCCTGAGCACAGCGAGGGTACGACTAACCCCAGGGTGGCATGTAAGGTGGGTGCAGTGTGCCCATTGAATAACTTCTGAACGAACGGGGTCAGGAACAAACAAGGAACTCGGGGGTCCCGTCCCCGGATCCGGGTGGGTCAGTTGCGCCTGACGCACTCGTGACTCTATCTCCCATGTAACTGTAGCCACTATACGGGACAAAGGCAGAATAGTGTCATTCTCAGGAGCAGGATGTGCACCGCAATAAACTCTGGACAAGGCATCTGGTTTCAAGTTCTTGGAGCCAGGGCGATAAGTGACAGAGAAGTTGAAACGGTCGAAAAAAAAGGGCCCACCTGGCTTGCCTTGAGTTGAGACGCTTGGCTGTCTGGATATACGTGAGGTTCTTGTGATCCGACCAGACCACAAAGGGGTGAGTAGCCCCCTCCAGCCAGTGACGCCACTCCTCTAGGGCCAGCTTGATTGCCAGGAGCTCTCTGTTCCCGATGTCGTAGTTTCTCTCTGCAGAAGACAGTTTACGAGAGAAAAAAGCACATGGATGCAATTTCTGATCAGTGGGTGACCTTTGCGAGAGTATAGCCCCCACTCCTGTGTCAGAGGCGTCCACCTCTACTACAAACTGGAGTTCAGGATTGGGCTGAATAAGCACAGGGGCAGAGGTGAACCGGTCCCTAAGTTGCTTAAAAGCCAAGTCAGCCTCAGGAGTCCATGCGAAATTGGAAGAAGTGGAGGTAAGTGCAGTCAGGGGGGCCGCAACGTGGCTGAAATTGCGGATGAATCTCCTATAGAAATTAGCAAACCCCAAAAAACGCTGTACCTCCCTGCGACTGGTGGGGATAGGCCAATCACGGACAGCAGACAACTTTTCAGGATCCATCTGCACCTGGCCCCGGGCAATAATGTATCCTAAGAATGAGACAGAAGGTTCATGAAACTGACATTTCTCTGCCTTAACAAATAACTTGTTCTCCAGGAGTCTTTGGAGGACACTGCGGACATGGCGCCTGTGAGTCTCTAGAAAAAAATCAAGATGTCGTCAATGTAAACAAAAACATATCTCCCAATCATGTCACGTAGGACGTCATTTACCAGGTTTTGAAACACGGATGGGGCGTTAGTGAGACCAAACGGCATGACCAGGTATTCAAAATGGCCCAGGGGAGTATTAAAAGCAGTCTTCCACTCATCCCCCTCCCTGATGCGCACCAGGTGATAGGCATTGCGCAAGTCCAATTTAGAGAAAATCGTAGATCCACAGAGAGGGGTGAAGGCTGAACTAATCAAAGGGAGTGGGTACCTGTTCTTAACAGTGATTTTATTGAGGCCCCGGTAATCAATGCAGGGCCTAAGAGACTTATCCTTTTTCTCAACAAAGAAAAATCCAGCACCCACCGGTGAGGACGAGGGCCTGATTATTCCCACTGCCAGGGATTCCTGAATGTACCTCTCCATAGACTCGTTCTCCGGGCGCGAGAGGTTGTACAGGCGGCTGCTCGGTAGAGGCGCCCCAGGAAGCAGGTCTATGGCGCAATCATAAGGCCGGTGAGGGGGGAGAGAAAGAGCCCGATCCTTGCTAAATACAGCACCAAGGTCGTGATACTCAGAGGGCACTGCCGACAGATCCGGAGGGTCTGGGAGCGGGGTGGATCGAAAACAAACTGGGGTCAAGGCTGACTGCAAGCAATAAGAATGACAGAATGGGCTCCATGAAATGATACTCTTAGCTGACCAGTCGACATGAGGATTGTGCAACCTTAACCATGGCAACCCCAAAACAAGAGGAGAGTGAGTACAATCAAAAACATGGAAGGAAATAGTCTCCTTGTGGTTACCTGAGAGATGAAGGAGGATTGGGAGAGTCTTCCTCGTGACTCTGGCGAGTAACTGCCCATTCAATCCCTTAGCCTCCAAAGGGGTATCCAGAACTTCGGTCCCAATCCCCAGCTGGTGAACGACCTCACTGTCCGAAAAGCTCTCATCTGCCCCAGAGTCAATGAGCACAGGAAGCGTCAGGGTTTGATCAGAAAAAACAAGGGTGCCCTCAAAACTGGCTCTTAAGGGAGAGGTGCAACTAGTTTGGCTCAACAGTACGTCTCCCACTACTGTTGAGCCCGACCTTTTGGCCGTGCAGGACAAGATGCGATAAAGTGCCCAGTCTGACCGCAATAGAGACAGCTCCGGGAGTTAATGCGGCGTTCTCTCTCCTCTGCACTGACGAGGGCTCGGCCAAGCTGCATGGGCTCTGGTCCCGGCGTGGCTGGAGGTGGAACAGGCGGTGTCGCTGGAAAAACAACTTGTGGAGAGTTGTAAGCACTCACATATTTCGTCCTACCCGCTCTCTCACGTCGCCGTTCCCTGAGCCGGTTGTCCACACGAATGGTCAAATCAATTAACTCATTGAGGCTCCCAGGAACGTCACGGGAAGCTATCTCGTCTTTGAGATTCTCCGACAGAGAATTAAGAAATGCTCCCAGAAGCGCCTCATCATTCCACCCCAATTCAGCTGCGAGTGTGCGAAATTCAATGGCCAATTCAGCTACACTGCGGTTCTCTTGACGCAGGGAAAATAGTCTCTTAGCCGCCTCCTTGCCACTAACAGGATGGTCAAAAATCTGCCTCATAGCAATAGTAAAATCGTAATAGGAATCACAAATTGGATCCTGTTTCTCCCAAACTGCGGAGGCCCAATTAAGAGCATGGCCTCGAAGGCATCCAATTAAGTATGAAATCCTGGCTCGATCATTAGCATAACTTAGCGGTTGTTGCTCAAAAATAAGGGAACACTGGGTCAAAAAAGACTTACATGACCCCAGGTCGCCGTGGTACGGTGCCGGTGGAGGAACAAAAACATCTCTGGTAGGAGGAGGCAGGACTAGCGATGGGGCAGCAGAAGGAGCAGAAATGTTATCAGTGGCCGTTGTGTTGATTACTTGAGTCCTCAGGCTTGCCAGGCTGATGGAAAACTCCTTCATGTGTTCCATGAGGGCCTTGAGCGTATTGTCATGTTGCTCCAACAGAGACATCTGGGCAGAAAGGGTCTGGTTGATGTGGTCAGCTGGGTTCATTCTTTGGCCAGTTCGTACTGTTACGAGTCGGACAAAGAACCCAAGTGCAGAGGTAACAAAAAGTTTAATTAACAAAAATAGGTAGACTCAAAACACAGGAGAGCCGGGAATGGGGCTGGGACCAGGCGGTGCAGGGCTGGGTGCAGAGCTGGGGTCAGGCGGTGCGGAACGGAGGTCTGAGGCAGAGCAAAACAAAGGTGAGACAAAAGTAACGAGAGCGATAACAAGCAGGCCTACTAACGCACAGTAACACTGATTACGAACTGGCACCGATGAGCTGGCTTCTGGAGCTCTTGTAGTAGCTTGATTGGAGCCAGGAGGCAGCTGGGCCTGATCAGCCTCTCCCATCCACCTGCTCTGGGAGGCGGCTCCAGGAGAAGCAGGGGAGGGAGGGGCTGCTGGAGGAGCAGCCCTGACAGTACCCCTCCCCCTACCGACGCCCCCAGGCGGACACACACGCCTCCCCGGTCGACGAGCGTAGAAGTCCCGTATGAGGGACGGGTCCAGGATGTTGCCACGGGAGACCCAGCATCGCTCCTCGGGGCCGTAACCTTCCCAGTCCACCAGGAACTGGCAGCCACGACCACGCTGTCGAACATCCACGATCCGCCGAACATTAAAGGCAGGATGGCCGTCCACCAACCTAGGCGGGGGTGGGGCTGGACGGGGGGGAACCAATGGACTAGACTGGACAGGCTTAACACGGGACACATGAAACGTGGGGTGAATCTTCAAGGAAGAGGGAAGCTTAAGACGTACCGCGGAGGGGTTGACGACCCGTTCCACCTCAAAGGGCCCGATAAAGCGGGGCGACAGCTTCGCAGATTCCACCTTGAGAGGAATGTCTCTCGTGGACAGCCACACCTTCTGTCCAGGCAAATAGGCAGGAGCCGGGATGCGGCGGCGATTAGCCTGTACTTGCGTCCGAGCAGAGGCGCGCAGCAAGGCCTTCTTCCAAGTCTTTTGACATCTGCGAAGGTTATCCTGGACCGAGGGCACTGCCAACTCAGCCTCTTGGTCAGGAAACAGGGGCGGTTGATAGCCATAACAACATTCAAAAGGGGACATACCTAAAGAAGCGCTCGGGAGTGTGTTATGGGCATATTCCACCCAGGGAAGGTGAGAACTCCAGCTGGACGAATTAGAGGAGGACACACAACGTAGAGCCACCTCCATCTGCTGGTTAGCCCGCTCCGTCTGGCCATTAGTCTGGGGGTGATAGCCAGAGGAAAGGCTCACGTTAATATTCAGGGCAGAACAGAAGGCCTTCCAAACCTGAGCCGTGAACTGGGGGCCTCTGTCAGACACGATGTCGGCAGGAATGCCATGCAGCCGGAAGACGTGGTTCACCAACAGGTCTGCAGTCTCCTTAGCAGAAGGAAGTTTAGGAAGGGGTACAAAGTGAGCAGCCTTTGAGAACCGGTCCACAACTGTCAGCACCACGGAATTACCATTAGAAGGCGGGAGGCCGGTAACAAAATCCAGCGCTATGTGAGACCAAGGGCGATTGGGGATGGGTAGAGGACGCAGCAACCCAGATGGGGGCTTGTTAGAACATTTATTCTGGGAGCACACGTTGCATGCAGCAATGAAGTCCTTAGTATCCCTCTCCATAGTAGGCCACCAGAACTTGCGCCTGAGCACAGCGAGGGTACGACTAACCCTAGGGTGGCATGTAAGGTGGGTGCAGTGTGCCCATTGAATAACTTCTGAACGAACGGGGTCAGGAACAAACAAGGAACTCGGGGGTCCCGTCCCCGGATCCGGGTGGGTCAGTTGCGCCTGACGCACTCGTGACTCTATCTCCCATGTAACTGTAGCCACTATACGGGACAAAGGCAGAATAGTGTCATTCTCAGGAGCAGGATGTGCACCGCAATAAACTCTGGACAAGGCATCTGGTTTCAAGTTCTTGGAGCCAGGGCGATAAGTGACAGAGAAGTTGAAACGGTCGAAAAAAAGGGCCCACCTGGCTTGCCTTGAGTTGAGACGCTTGGCTGTCTGGATATACGTGAGGTTCTTGTGATCCGACCAGACCACAAAGGGGTGAGTAGCCCCCTCCAGCCAGTGACGCCACTCCTCTAGGGCCAGCTTGATTGCCAGGAGCTCTCTGTTCCCGATGTCGTAGTTTCTCTCTGCAGAAGACAGTTTACGAGAGAAAAAAGCACATGGATGCAATTTCTGATCAGTGGGTGACCTTTGCGAGAGTATAGCCCCCACTCCTGTGTCAGAGGCGTCCACCTCTACTACAAACTGGAGTTCAGGATTGGGCTGAATAAGCACAGGGGCAGAGGTGAACCGGTCCCTAAGTTGCTTAAAAGCCAAGTCAGCCTCAGGAGTCCATGCGAAATTGGAAGAAGTGGAGGTAAGTGCAGTCAGGGGGGCCGCAACGTGGCTGAAATTGCGGATGAATCTCCTATAGAAATTAGCAAACCCCAAAAAACGCTGTACCTCCCTGCGACTGGTGGGGATAGGCCAATCACGGACAGCAGACAACTTTTCAGGATCCATCTGCACCTGGCCCCGGGCAATAATGTATCCTAAGAATGAGACAGAAGGTTCATGAAACTGACATTTCTCTGCCTTAACAAATAACTTGTTCTCCAGGAGTCTTTGGAGGACACTGCGGACATGGCGCCTGTGAGTCTCTAGAAAAAAATCAAGATGTCGTCAATGTAAACAAAAACATATCTCCCAATCATGTCACGTAGGACGTCATTTACCAGGTTTTGAAACACGGATGGGGCGTTAGTGAGACCAAACGGCATGACCAGGTATTCAAAATGGCCCAGGGGAGTATTAAAAGCAGTCTTCCACTCATCCCCCTCCCTGATGCGCACCAGGTGATAGGCATTGCGCAAGTCCAATTTAGAGAAAATCGTAGATCCACAGAGAGGGGTGAAGGCTGAACTAATCAAAGGGAGTGGGTACCTGTTCTTAACAGTGATTTTATTGAGGCCCCGGTAATCAATGCAGGGCCTAAGAGACTTATCCTTTTTCTCAACAAAGAAAAATCCAGCACCCACCGGTGAGGACGAGGGCCTGATTATTCCCACTGCCAGGGATTCCTGAATGTACCTCTCCATAGACTCGTTCTCCGGGCGCGAGAGGTTGTACAGGCGGCTGCTCGGTAGAGGCGCCCCAGGAAGCAGGTCTATGGCGCAATCATAAGGCCGGTGAGGGGGGAGAGAAAGAGCCCGATCCTTGCTAAATACAGCACCAAGGTCGTGATACTCAGAGGGCACTGCCGACAGATCCGGAGGGTCTGGGAGCGGGGTGGATCGAAAACAAACTGGGGTCAAGGCTGACTGCAAGCAATAAGAATGACAGAATGGGCTCCATGAAATGATACTCTTAGCTGACCAGTCGACATGAGGATTGTGCAACCTTAACCATGGCAACCCCAAAACAAGAGGAGAGTGAGTACAATCAAAAACATGGAAGGAAATAGTCTCCTTGTGGTTACCTGAGAGATGAAGGAGGATTGGGAGAGTCTTCCTCGTGACTCTGGCGAGTAACTGCCCATTCAATCCCTTAGCCTCCAAAGGGGTATCCAGAACTTCGGTCCCAATCCCCAGCTGGTGAACGACCTCACTGTCCGAAAAGCTCTCATCTGCCCCAGAGTCAATGAGCACAGGAAGCGTCAGGGTTTGATCAGAAAAAACAAGGGTGCCCTCAAAACTGGCTCTTAAGGGAGAGGTGCAACTAGTTTGGCTCAACAGTACGTCTCCCACTACTGTTGAGCCCGACCTTTTGGCCTGCAGGACAAGATGCGATAAAGTGCCCAGTCTGACCGCAATAGAGACAGCTCCGGGAGTTAATGCGGCGTTCTCTCTCCTCTGCACTGACGAGGGCTCGGCCAAGCTGCATGGGCTCTGGTCCCGGCGTGGCTGGAGGTGGAACAGGCGGTGTCGCTGGAAAAACAACTTGTGGAGAGTTGTAAGCACTCACATATTTCGTCCTACCCGCTCTCTCACGTCGCCGTTCCCTGAGCCGGTTGTCCACACGAATGGTCAAATCAATTAACTCATTGAGGCTCCCAGGAACGTCACGGGAAGCTATCTCGTCTTTGAGATTCTCCGACAGAGAATTAAGAAATGCTCCCAGAAGCGCCTCATCATTCCACCCCGATTCAGCTGCGAGTGTGCGAAATTCAATGGCCAATTCAGCTACACTGCGGTTCTCTTGACGCAGGGAAAATAGTCTCTTAGCCGCCTCCTTGCCACTAACAGGATGGTCAAAAATCTGCCTCATAGCAATAGTAAAATCGTAATAGGAATCACAAATTGGATCCTGTTTCTCCCAAACTGCGGAGGCCCAATTAAGAGCATGGCCTCGAAGGCATCCAATTAAGTATGAAATCCTGGCTCGATCATTAGCATAACTTAGCGGTTGTTGCTCAAAAATAAGGGAACACTGGGTCAAAAAAGACTTACATGACCCCAGGTCGCCGTGGTACGGTGCCGGTGGAGGAACAAAAACATCTCTGGTAGGAGGAGGCAGGACTAGCGATGGGGCAGCAGAAGGAGCAGAAATGTTATCAGTGGCCGTTGTGTTGATTACTTGAGTCCTCAGGCTTGCCAGGCTGATGGAAAACTCCTTCATGTGTTCCATGAGGGCCTTGAGCGTATTGTCATGTTGCTCCAACAGAGACATCTGGGCAGAAAGGGTCTGGTTGATGTGGTCAGCTGGGTTCATTCTTCGGCCAGTTCGTACTGTTACGAGTCGGACAAAGAACCCAAGTGCAGAGGTAACAAAAAGTTTAATTAACAAAAATAGGTAGACTCAAAACACAGGAGAGCCGGGAATGGGGCTGGGACCAGGCGGTGCAGGGCTGGGTGCAGAGCTGGGGTCAGGCGGTGCGGAACGGAGGTCTGAGGCAGAGCAAAACAAAGGTGAGACAAAAGTAACGAGAGCGATAACAAGCAGGCCTACCAACGCACAGTAACACTGATTACGAACTGGCACCGATGAGCTGGCTTCTGGAGCTCTTGTAGTAGCTTGATTGGAGCCAGGAGGCAGCTGGGCCTGATCAGCCTCTCCCATCCACCTGCTCTGGGAGGCGGCTCCAGGAGAAGCAGGGGAGGGAGGGGCTGCTGGAGGAGCAGCCCTGACAAATAGGTGCCTAAACAGAGTGTAGGAGCCACATAACAGCCTGTGGAAAGAAGCTGTTAGCATAGCGAGATGTCTTGCATCTCAGCGACAGATATCTTCTGCCAGAGGGAAGAAGCTGGAACATGGCTTTTCCAGGGTGGCCAGAAGAGTCATTGATGATTTTAAGAGCTTTGTTTAAAAGTCTGGATTTATAAAAATTGATGGGATGTACAAGGAGCTTAACCGAGTCGTGGTTGAGAGCGCTGTGGCTGGACAACGAAGAGTGGTGTTAGTGGAACAGTTGATCAAAGATCTCGCAGCTCGTTCACTTGATGGGCATAAAACTCTGGAATTGAGATTGAATGACATTGGGCCTCATTCACGAACGGTTCTTAGGAACAGATTTGTACGTAAATCCTACTTACGCGGTTTTTACGAAGAAAGTGGCATTCACGAATATTTCTCGTAACCAGAATTTCTCTTGGGCAAGTACAAATCCTACGAGTCCTCAGGAGCACTCGTACGCATTCAGTGCCGACATGTTCACAGCCGGGGTTGTCCTCTTTGGTGAAGTTGAATAAAAATACAACATTCCAGTGATATGTCCGTCATATCGATGTATGTATTTATTTATTTGTAGTAATCTTTATTAGTAATCTTTATTTATATACCGCCTTTTTCACTGCAGATCTGGCCTACTTTTTAATTCATTTTGAAATGAAATGTGCCAACGCTTTATCAAATACATTGGAAATCTTGCCGTGTATTAGTGACCCCTTCCTATTTATAGGGGGCATTTCTTTATCCACGGGCCACAGAACAACGGCATATATACTGCTGCTGCAGGAGGTTACTGGGTCCGCGCTGAGTCTCTGCGCTGGTCTCTCCCATGGATCTATACGGGTCTGCACTGGTCTCTCCCATGGATCTAGACGGGTCTGCACTGGTCTCTCCCATATACGGGTCTGCACTGGTCTCTCTCCATACGGGTCCGTGATGCATGCTCCTGGATCCATACGGGTCCGCGCTGGTCTCTCAAGTCTGGTCTATGCGGTCTCTCTTCGGTCCGCGCTGGTCTCTGCGCACCAGTCTCTCCAGTCAGGTCACTCCAGTCTATGCGGTCTCTCCTATAGGTCCGCGCTGGTTTCTGTGTGCTGGTCACTCCAGTCTCTCCTCGGGTCTGCATTGGTCTCAGCGCTGGTCCGCGCTGGATCTCCTCCCAGGGTCCAAAATATTTTGAGATTAATCTCAAAACATTTTGAGATTCATCTTTAAAATAATACATAATATATTTTTAAATTAAGCTCATAACATTTTGAGATTAATCTCATCATATTCTTAGATTAATCTCATAATTTTGCTAGTTCGACTTTATTATCATAATATTTCGCCTTTTAAGTCAACATTTTATAACTTTATTCTCAGTCTGGTAAAGGAAGAAGAAAGGGTGACTATTTTGCTCCGTGTAACTCTGCTTTAGGCCTGTTGCTGTTTCCTCTGCCGTCTGCACACGGCCCTGCAGTCCCTTATATGGGCATTAGTGGGCGGTTACTTATGCTAAGTACCTATGCTAATGAAGCACCTGGCACGCGCGCTGTATTTACGAGGAAATGGGATTCATCAATCTGAGAGAACAGCTGCGAACAATTCAGCGGCTTACGAGTGCGTTGATGAATCCCACGTGGGGACTTCTTAGAAATCTACTTAAGGACAACTTGAGAAGAAAGTTGAGTAGTTTCTTACGAAGTTATTCGTGAATGAGGCCCAATGTTTGTCAGGCTTGAACTCTCTGACCCGGCTTGGATTTGCCCCTGTGTACGGAGGTCTGAGGGCGCCGTAATTCGGTTTAATTGGATTTAATAGAATATCTGCCTGTTTTTGTCTGCTAAAATGCATACTATATTGTCCCTCGTTACAGGAAGATGTGTTTTCTCCTTGCTGTGTCTTCTCCCCACTCTTATCTCACATTCCTCGGGCCAAGGCCATAATAATAAATCTGGTCTCTACAACAATTCACACTCTTTCAGTCAGTTCCAGCTTGGATCCCGCTCCCCCCGCCTCCCTCTGATCTCTCCCTCCCCTCCACTCCTCACTGTGTTTCCGACTCACCCCCTCCCTGACCCCGCCCCCCTCTGACAGCCACATTGGACCGGCAGCCGGAGGTGCTCATCCCGAGAAAAAAATCCGTGGTTTATACAAAGCACAATGTTTTCTATCCAACTGTCTGTTGTAACCTGAATGTTATTGCTCTCTGCTGTTTATTCTACTGTTTGTCGCATGGCGCCGGAAAGATGGCGCCGTGGCAAGAGCTCTGGTGTGTGTCGCCTTCTCTGTCTGGCGCACACCGGGGTAGTCTTGCACAGTTTTTCCAATGTGGTTTTACTGCAAATGGCAAATAAATGAAAAATAAATAAATGAATCTGAATCTATAAAGAACCTCCAGAACAGGAAGCTCACAGCCCACGGTCCTCTTTGCAGAGCGGAGCACCTTGTTTAACGCTCTCTTTTCTTTATCTGTGATGTTTCCAAACCACACAGACACAGAACCAACAAGTAAACTCTCAATGGTGCAGCGATAAAAGTTAAGCAGAATCTTAGAGTTAGTGGTAAATTCTCTAAGTTTCCTCAAAAAGGAGAGCCGCTGACGTGCTTTCTTAACAACCCGGTTAGTATTTTTGTCCCATTTCAGGTCGTTAGACAGAGTTAAACCCAGGAACTTGCACTCCTCTACGATCTGCACCTGGGAGTTGTCAATAACTACAGGAGTGTGAGAACTGCTACGACTGAAGTCAAAGACAAGTTCACATGTTTTTGCAGTGTTCAGCTGGAGATTGTTTACTTTAATCCACTGAAAAACATGTTCGATCTCTGCTCTATAAGAGGAATCATCATTGTCACTGATGAGACCAATGATGGTGGTTTCATCAGCATATTTGATGATCAAGTTAGAGTCAGAGGAGGACACACAATCGTGAGTGTACAAAGTAAAAAGCAGAGGACTCAAAATACATCCCTGAGGAGAACCAGTGCTCACAGAAACAACATCAGAAAAACAGTTATTGATTTTTACTCTCTGAGATCTGTCAGTTAAAAAGCTAAAAATCCATTTACACATGGCAACATTCAGACCAAGGGACATTAGTTTTTCAACCAATATGCTTGGGACAAGACGATTAAAAGCAGAGCTATAATCAATGAACAGCATTCTTGCGACAGATTTACTAGTGTCCAAGTGAGTGTACACAAAGTTCAGAGCAAAGGAGATGGCATCCTCCACACTCCTGTTCTGTCTGTAAGCAAACTGGAGCGGGTCAACACTCACAGAGATCTGGCTCTTAATGAAGTCCAGCATGAGCCGCTCAAAAGTCTTCATAAGAACAGACGTGAGAGCCACAGGGCGGTAGTCATTGAGACATGTCACTGGAGACTTCTTAGGAACTGGAATAATGGTGGACCTTTTAAAGCTCACCGGCACCGTACAGCTCCTGAGTGACAAGTTAAAGATGTCCGTTAAAACAGGGGCAAGTTGCTCAGAGCACAGTTTCAGGACGCGGGGAGGAATGCAGTCCGGGCCTGCGGCTTTCCGAGCTGTGGTCCTGGACAAGACCCGCCGTACTTCATCCTGAGTCACTGTGAAGGCACCCTGACATTTGTAGTAACACACTACGACGACAGGGACTCAAATCCTGCAGTGCCAGACGTGTCCCCCTGCTGAAGCCAGTGCATGTTCAGGCCCGTCTGAAGTTTGCCAGAGAGCACATGGATGATACAGCAACTCGTCGTGTTTGGAGGATGAAGAATACTGAGTTGCATCCCAAGAACACCATACCTACTGTGAAGCATGGGGGTGGAAACGTCATGCTTTGGGGCTGTTTTTCTGCTAAGGGGACAGGACGACTGATCTGTGTTAAGGAAAGAATGAATGGGGCCATGTATCGTGAGATTTTGAGCCAAAACCTCCTTCCATCAGTGAGAGCTTTGAAGATGAAACGTGGCTGGGTCTTCCAGCATGACAATGATCCCAAACACACCGCCCGGGCAACAAAGTAGTGGCTCCGTAAGAAGCATTTGAAAGTACTGGAGTGGCCTAGCCAGTCTCCAGACCTCAACCCCATTGAAAATCTGTGGAGGGAGTTGGGCCAAAATACCAGCTACTGTGTGTGCAAACCTGATAAAGACCTATAGTAATTGTTTGAACTCTGTTATTGACAACAAAGGTTATATTACAAGGTATTGAGTTGAATTTTTGTTATTGACCAAATAATTTTCCACCATAATTTACAAATAAATTCTTTAAAAATGTCAATTCCTGGATATTTTTTTTCACATTATGTCTCTCACAGTTTAAATGTACCTATGATGAAAATTACAGACCTCTGTCATTATTTTAAGTGGGAGAACTTGCACAATCGGTGGCTGACTAAATACTTTTTTGCCCCACTGTATATATGTATTTCCAAATTCTTGCCTGTAGTAAATAGCTACAGTTCAATTGGAGCTACTACACCCATCAAAACTGGGAAAATTATCTTTGTTGATTTTTAGTAATTTTTTCCAATTTCATTTTTGTTGCTGTGAAGGGGAAAACAATATTTTTCCCAAAT